TTTTAAGCGATAAGCAAAAAGCTGTTTAATCATGGGCAATATAACAAAAAATAGAAATAATTGGAAGCTGTATTTTTTAGGTCTAAGGTTGTAAAAGTAATTGCAGATGAAGTTTTTATATTCTCAATTCAAAATAAAACTGACTTATATTCTCAACTTTCTTAGAGGAATATGATTATAATTTCTACTATTGTTCTTATATTTTAAGAAATGCATTATACTATTCTCTTTCTTATAAAATAATTTAAAGATGAAATGAAATCTGTAAAAATAGATTTTTTCCCAAATATTGCAATTGAAAAATATGCTTGGAAATCTTAATATTATATTTTGAAAGTCTTTGGAATAAACTCGATTTCAAATATTGCAAACTTCATTTAATATTATAAATAGCAATATTTAAATATAATATTGAGCAGGTTAAAGAGAAAAACTCATATTTCATTTTTTAAGGATGTCTATTGATAATCTAAATATTTAATATTATAAAATTATAAAGAAATTTCTAAATTACGATTTGATAAGCAAATCTGTAAGTGAGTGTTTTGATGATACTCTAATATTTATAAAGACAAAAGTTATTGATAAGCATAAATAAATATTTGAATAAAGGTACATATTGTATAAATAAGAAATTTAGTAACTAAATCTTAAATTAGTGATTTAGTAAGAGCAAAATTTTTATAGCTACTATTTATTTTAGGAAATGATTAATTTTGTGGATTTATTTGAAATGAACATTTGACTCCATTACTGAAATTTGATTGATTTGCAGCTACAAATGTTTAATTACTAGTAAAGCCCTGTTTTTTTTGAATGATATGACAGTTTATGTTGGAATCGATAAGAATTTAGGTATTTTTGGTACAAATAGACTTGGACATTTAGCATTTAAAATCACTGCTGCTTCAAGCATTAGATGAGTAGATATTTCTAAGTCTTGCATATAAAAAGAAGATAAAATGTACATGGTGTTACCTATTTCATTTTGACTAAGCATCAACAATATATGGTTAAAGCATGTGAAAGATTTGATTATCATTTTAATTTTTTCTACTACAAGTATTCAACTAATGAATGTTTCGAGTTTGAAAAATTTAAAGATATTTATAATAAACTTTTAAATGAAAGATCTAATTTTATTGTAAAGTTTGATAAAGCTATAAAATAAAAGTATACTATAAAGAATTAATTAAATTTTATATATTTATCATATATAAATTATTTCATATAGTGACTATTAATGACACATATATTTGAAATCGTTAGAAATAATAACTTTAAAGCATAAATCAAGATTTATATTTTATTCAAAATAAAATTACCAGTTTAGAGTTACTTCAAAATAAATATTTCATAACCAAATTGTATAATTATTACCTATTTATCACTATTGTAAATTATTTTTGAGTGAATATTAATATGTGATTTATGAATTATTTCTATTTCTATATTATATAACTCCTAAAATGATCCTTTTTCTATCTTAAAGAAAGTTATTTATGATTTTTAGAGTTCCCCTATTACTAAAATTTCCTCATTTATAAAAGTTGTAGGTCCTTGAATATCTATTTGTTTTGCATGCAAAATTTAGAGAGCCCATTTATTATTATTGTCTAAGGTCCAAAGAATTAATTTATCACTGCGAGACACTAATTTAGTCTCATTTAAACTTAAAGTTATTTGAAAAACCCAAGAAATAGGTGGATCAAGTGAATATATAAAAGTTAGTGAATTTTTAATCTAATCAACTCCCAAAATATTAATAGTTTTATCTTCACTACTAGATATTAAAAGATCTTCTTTGTTATTTAAAATCAAACTTATAATCATTTTTATGTGTTTTTATATGATTTAGAAATTTGCCAATTATAAGAATTGAAAAAAGATTATTTTTCCTAAACGCAACATTTAATACTTCCTTATTCCATTCCTATCATAAACCAATTGTTCTTTTTGCTAAAAACAGTCAATTCTACTCTTTATCCTAATTTAAATTTAATATTTTAATCAATTAATTTTCCATTTTCGAATTTCCATACAGCAATTTTAGTAATATATTCTGTCACAAGTAATAAATTATATTTATTAAATTGTCCTCCAAAAATAATATTAAATTCATGATTAAAAAAACCTATTAAAAAATTAATGATTATTATTTTGCTTTTTCTAATAATAATTATTATTATTTTTTTATCCAATTCATTATTCTTGTCTTTAATTTCTTTTTATAATTTCAAAATTCCAATTTCTTTTATTTGATGATTATTCTATAATCTCTTATAAATTCTCCTTTACATTTTCACAAAGTATTTTTTCTTAATGATTCAACATTCAGCAGAGTCCTAGGATTTTTTCTTCATATAAATTTTTTTCTTAATAAATTAATTATTAATTAGATAGATTTACATTATTGATTTCTTCCATTAGGCTAAATCGCATTGAAATTGTTTATAGACCATCCAATTCTTTCTTCCACATCGAGATTAGGTTTATCATTTGATCAATTATTTGAAAAGTTTCAATCTTAATTTATCTAAAATCATTAATTAATCCATCTAATTATCCAAAATAATTTTCAACAGAATTTGTTACTTCATAGCAAACTCTTTCTTTTACATCTTGAATTTTAACTATAAAATCTTTAAAAGAAACATCGTTGAGAACTCCTCTATTATTTAATAAGCATTCTGGACACATCAATCTTTGGTTCCCTTTAATTCTTTATCCGCTAATACAATAATAATTGGTTGATTCTAATGTTAATTTTAAATTTAAACATTCTACTTATTTTTCTAACAAAATACTTCCTTTTTATTGAAATTGTTTTTATAAATCCATTTTTAAGTGATTGATATATCCCATAAACACATTGATAAATCATAACTGCTAGATGCCAATGTACTACCATCAGGAGATATATATTGATACTACACGCTTTCATTGGGTCCTTTTAAAGAAGTTACAAGATTACATAGTATTTACTATTTCATTTTGACTAAGAATTAAAAATATATGGTTAAAGCATATGAAAAATTTGATATCATTTTATGTTTTTCTAAACAAGTTTATGAAATAATTAAGTCGTAATAAGGGCAAGATCTAAAAATTATTGTAAAAGTTGCAAAAGCTATAGAATCGCTAAATTAATGAGAGTATTATATAAAGAATTAATTAAATTTTTATTTTATTAATAAATGTATATGATAATAATCAATTCTTTTTAATTTTTTATTTACAAACATAATCCTTTAATTTTATCAATCTCTCCTTCATTTATTAGTAAAACTATTAAAACAAAAAGATCAATTAAACAAATATTGAGAATCCAATAAAAAATAATATTACCCATCCTATGAAGTATTTTTAATCAAATGAAAAAATATCGCTGACATCATGAATAGCTAATAAAACAGTAATAAAAATTATTATAAAAATACAGAAATCTGGTATTGAGGTTTAAATAAGGATAGTTCTATTTTCAAATGGATTCTGATACAGAATAAAAGCTAAATTTAAAAAGCAAATTGAACAACATAATGACGTTTATAACAACGGTACATCATAAAAATAAACTGTAAAATATATAAAAAAGGCTTTTCTCATTAAATTAACATAACAATAATTTCTAGCTAACACTTGTTTTGTATTGATGCCTTCATACAATGATGAATAATAATTCTTAAATTTTTAAGCCTCGTACAAAATTGCATGTTATGAACAAACAAAAGAATATAATTTAAAAACTGACATTATAAAAATAATCCCAATAACAGCTAATAAAATATTTAATTTTATAATTGTAGAATCTTCATTTTTTTTATATTATAATTAAAGAGTACAAGCCAAGCAAATATCCAAAAACACTAATCCAATAATTTAAAGTAATTTAGCTCTAAAATTCTCTTTAAACCATAATATATCTTCGTAAATAATATTTATTAAATAAGGCATTTCTTTACTTTAAAAATTAAATTGTTTAATAGGTTATTTTTTTGTTGATATTATTTCAATTTTATTGATCTAGTTCATTTCACTAACTGAAAATATTTCAATTTTATGTACTTTTAAATTGTTTGATTTAAATTTATTTTCAATTATTGATACTATACAAATAGAAAAAATATAACCTATTATTGCTAATAAAATTAATCCGCAAAATAATTAAATGTTATTTAAAAATAGAGGATTGACATCTTTTTCAGTAAATTTTGGAGGTGCTTCAAAATAATAAGAATCATCTGGCGAATTTAGTGTGATAAAATCAGGAATATTAATTATATCACCCCATTCAAGTTAATTAAAAAATAATTTAACATTCATAGGGTAATCTACATTTAGAAAATAAAAATTATTAATCCAAGTCAAAATATCTAAGATCGTCCAAAAAAAATTGAATCCTCCAAGAACAATTGTTAAAGGTCCAATTAATTAAAGTAGAAAAGTTAAGTTAGAAGATGCTGCTACAACACTTTAAGCTTAAGCTTTTTAATCTTCATTATAATAAATTAATCTTCTTGGAGTAACAACAATTTCTCTAATTTCTTCTTCAAGAATTCTAGTTACATTATCTCTCAATGGTATTATTAAATGAATAAGATTAAATTCCATTAAGGTTTTAAAAAAATTAAACTTGATTTCACATTTATTTTATCCTAATTAATTTTAATTTTCTTTCTAAAAAACTTCATATTTAAATTCATTTGATTAGAATTGTTCTATCCAAATTTTTAATTTTTTACAAATACCATCTATTTCAAGATCCTCAAAGATTAAATCAAAATTGTTAGCTGTAGTTGAATTAGAATATGTCAATCCAATTTATTTTTTAGGTGGGACATAGCAGATACCTCCTTTACATACAAATTCTTTTTCAATTTCACATTTAGAATTACAACCATCTTTATCAATATTATTACCATCATCACATAATTCGTTTCCAGCTATAATATTGTCTCCACATTTCGTAACACAAGATTTTTATTATTTATCTAAATAAAACCCAGAGATATTATCACATTTCTTACAATCTTTTGTAGAGCATACTGTACAATTATTTGGAGTATTAAGACACTCCTCACATTTTTCTGAACACTAATTACATCCATTATCTTTAAGGAAATATCCCTTTATGCATTGCTAGCATTCTACTCTTTTCATTTTTAATATACAATTCTCACAATTGTCTTAGCATTTATAACAAAAAGTTAATAAATTTACATCTTATTCACATTTATAAAAAGGATAAAGAACAACCATCTCTAAGAATATCATTATGATCATCACATTATTCATCTCCATTTTTAATACCATCTCCACATTTGGTTACACATTATTATCCATTTAAATAATATCCTGTTTGGCATTCAAAACATGATCCTTTCTAACAATTTGTGCACAATATATGACATTAATATTAACAATCATAGCATCCATCATAAGGAATACTATTTTAATCTTCGCATTATTCATTGCCTACAACAATGCCATCTCCACATTATGGTTAACAATCATTACTATAATTATCATAATAAAATCCTATTAAACCTTCACATTATTTTAATTATTCGCAAATACCTTTTAATTGTACTACTATTAAGGGAGATTCACATGATATACATTTTCCAAAATAACAATTTAAACACTCAATTTAACATTAATATTTGCATTAGAAACAGCCATCATATTTTAATTCATTACCATCATCACAGACTTCATCATTTGCTAGTATATTATCACCACAAATTGAATTACAAGAATTACTCACAATATCTAAATAGAATCCAATAAAACATTGAGTGCAAACTCCATAAGCACATTACTTACATTATTGAGGACATTGATATTTACAATTTAAACATGTATCAATATGATATTAATTCACATCATCGCATTCTTCTTCCTAAACTATTATACCATCTCCGCACTTAGGTATACATTTATTCCCATAATATCCATATTCACATTCTAGACATTATTAAAGTAAACATTATTTACAATTCTTAGAGCATTTATTCATATTATAATCAATAATGCAAGTGTTAGTAATTAAATCTAGATATCCAATTTAACAAATAATACATTAATTATTGTTTAACAATCTACAATTAGGTTACGCAAAAATTGTAAGTAAAGATTGTATTGATTTACATGAATTTTTTAATTAATCTAAATCATAATTAATTTAACATGATTGACATATTCCATATAAACATATTTCACAATATTGAGTGCATTAGAACTTACATTAAAAACATCCATCAAAACTAATTTAATTTCCATCGTCGCATTCTTCATTTCCAGCTACAATTTAATCTCCACAAATTGGATAGCAAAAGAATGTATTTAATCTCCATCCTTCTTTACACTCATAACAAACACCATCAATGCAACTATTACAATTATTATCACAATTTTATTCACAATAATTATTACAATCATCATTATTAATAAGGTTTTAATCATCACACTATTCCAGATTTTCAATTATACCATATCCACATTCCGAAGTATTACTATGATCATATTCACAGTTAATTTTTATACAATTTAAATATTAATTCAAAAAATAGCCGCTAATACATAATTAACATACTCCTTAAACACAATTAAGACAAGTCTCTTAGCATTTTGATTGGCATTTATTTTCAATTAAATTAAACTCTTAAGAACATTATAAGCATTCACCATATATACATTAAATGCAATTATTATCACATTCATATTTGCATTAATAGCAACCATCAAATTATTGCATATTCTAATCATCACATTCTTCCCATCCATTAATAAATCCATCACCACATTAAGATTCACAAATTTATAATTCTTAATTGAAGTAGAAACTTTCAAAGCACTACTATATTAAAATACATGTATTCTCGTTAAGTTCGTAATTATCTGTACATTGAAAACATTTATTATTATAACATTGAAGACAGCTTTCCTAACAATCAGGAATACAATCACCATATTCATTTAATTTATAATATTTCGAGCATATTAAACATTCTCCCCTTAAGTATAATTCACATTAAGGATAACCATCAATGTCATTCTTATTAATATAACAAAATCCATTCCAAAGGTAATAATTTTTATTACATTCTAAACATGCTCCATTTAAACAATTTAAACATTATTAGCTACATGAAAATTTACAATAGTAACAACCATCAAATTCTATAAAATTATTATCTTCACAGTCTTCATCATGGACTATGATTCCATCTCCACACTTTGATTCACAGATATTGGTAAATTAATTAATATAATATCCATGTTCACATTAATAACAAATTTCTTCAAAATACAATACACATAATTTTGGTACATCAAACATGCAGCTTAAACAATTTTAATTATCCATTTCGCACTGTTCATCATGTGCAAGTATTTTATCTCCACAAGATGAAATACAAGAAAAGTTATCATCTAAATAATAGCCACTTTGACAAATTATACAATTATTATCATTACATGATAAACAATAATCAAAACAATAACTACAATATAAATCTGGAGATAATTTAAGTTAATATTGACAAAAATTCAATGGGGTTACATTAAAATTGCACTTTTATTCAAATTTATCAAAGTATGAATAATTTTCGCATTAAATACAACTATTTCCAATTTAAAATTAACAGTTTTCAATGATTGTAGAAGTATATTATAGAGATTTAATACAATGTTATTAATTTGAGGATAATTCAAATCCTTCTTAGCATCGCTAACAAATACCAAATTAACACAAGCTACAATTCAAATCACAACTTAGTTAACATGATTTACATATCTGATGGATCTGCAATGAGCTGATCATTTCACAAAATTCATTATATATTTGAGCTCCATCTCCACAAATAGAGTAACATTTAGATTATATTAATTCATACCCTTCTTTACAATCATAACAGACTCCTAAAATACAATTAAGACATGAATCCTAGCAAGTAAATTAGCAGAAATGACACCCATCTCCAATTATTAAATTACCATCATCACATTCTTCATCTTCTGTTTTTATTTTATCACCACAAAATGAATAACATAAATTATCAATTCTATTGTAACCATTTTTACATGATAAACAACCAAGTCCAGAAGTATTACAAGTAAGGCAAGAACTTTAACATTGAGCTTAGCAATTTATACAACCTTTATATGGTAATATAGATGAATTTTCACATTGTTCACCAACTAATAGCATCGAATCTCCACAAATTGGTATACATATTTTAGCATTAGAGAGCTAATACCCTGTATTGCATATTTCACATCTATTATTTATGCAACTAGTGCAAATAGAGGATGGTTAACATTAAAATTAGCAAGAGGTATTGCAACCATCATCATTAATCGTATTACCATCATCACATTATTCTGAATAGAACCCATAAGGATCTTATACAACTAAACCATCTCCACAATTATTTTGACAATAGAAAGAAATAGGAATAAAACCAGTAAATTCACAACTTAAGCATGTATTGGTAGTGTAATCACAAGAAGAACAACCAATTCTACAGAAAAATTTACAATCTTTGCAACCATCTGTATCACTGAAATTTCCATCATCACATTATTCACTTTAACCTACTATTTAATCTCCACATTTTTCCTTGCATTACCAAGGAGTAACTGTTGGGTCAATATACCATCCTGGTGTTGCACATTCAAAACATTGTCCTTTTATACACTTTGTACATTAAGATTAGCATTAATATTTACAATTAAAACATCCATCATATTAAATAGTATTTCCATCTTCACATTATTCAATACCAGTTATAATTCCATCTCCACAAACATCAGGGCAAGGTAAAATAGTTGATTAATCACAAGTTAAACAATGACTTGGACATTAAAATTAACAATTATAGCATAAATCATTTAGAATTAGATTATTATCTTCGCATTATTCATATCCTTTTATTAATGAATCTCCACAAATGGGTTAACATTCTCCAGATATTAATTGAAATCCAGAATCACAAGAATCGCATTTAATAGTATGCCATATTTATTGATTAGTATTACATTATTTATAACATTAACTTAGGGATGAATCTTCTATATATGGACAATCTATAATTATCATTATTATTTATACGTGTACAGATATTGCTATATTCATAATAACCAGATGAACATGTACATTTTAATCCTTTTAATATTCTATTTTGATTAGAATCGCATGTTAAACAACCATCAATTGTTGTTCTAAAGCAAGTTAAGCATGATTAATGGCAAACGGAACAGCCTTTTATTTCATCCTAATAATTAAATCCTATTGGGCATCTACATGTTGATCCGTCTTGTTCAATATTAGAAATGCCATTACAAGTTAAACACTCATTGAAAGAAGGTCCTACACAAGTTTTACAAAGTTAATGACATAATTAACATTGAGGATTTGATAAAATTGGATAATATCCATCCATACAAATGCATTAACCATTTGATAATTATCTAAAGTTACTATTTAAACATTCTATGCAATAAGTATAGCTTAAACATTAATTACATTCAATTGGACAATCAAAACATTGATTTGAATCTTCATATTGATTCATTTTGCAAATACATCCAGATTTAGTTTAAGTATAAGTTGATGAGCATGTTTAACAATCTATTCTTGATTTACATGTTAAACAAGATTGTGGACAATCAAAACATCTAACAGAATCTTTATCATAAAATTAATTGATTAAACATTCTGCTTAAGATAATTTAACAATACTAGCATCATAAGTGCTGTTCCATGTATTGCATGTGGTTTAATCTGAACATGATGAACAATAAGGTTTACAATTATGAACAGCAATATAATAATTATAGAATCCACAATAAGCTTCAATCGGTTCATTAGTTGAACCTTAACATTCCCAAGTGATTGTTAATTTATTTGTCTTATGAAGGATTTTTTCATATACTTTAAGTACTCTTGATCCATCTTAATGTTCTTAATAAAAATTAGCGCTTGTTTAAGAAACTGGTGGATTATTTTCAATTTAATATATAAATTTTCCAGCTCCAGGAAATTTTGGTCCATAAAGGATATAAAATGCAATAGTGATACTATGATGTGGAGATACTATATCATGAATCCTTTAGAATTTAGCTTAAGCCCACACAAAAGGTCCTCCAAAAACCCTTATTCCTTAAAAATATGAGTAATAGATATCAGATCCTTTTAAAAAGTTTGTTCCACTGCTAGAAATTAAACTGTATTATGCATATTATCCAGGGTCATTTTCAGCATTTATATATTCTTAAATTAAATATTAAGAGTCTAAAAATTAATAAATAAGATACAAGGTGTTTCATCATCATAATCATAACAATAGGATTCATTTATTCTTTAATATGGAGATTAGCAACTCTATATGCAACTACTATCTCGATAATTATAAAATCCAATTTAACATGTCTTACATTTAAACGGTACTTCACACAATAAGCAGTATTAAGAACAATATCCTGAAGTAATTTAAATTTAAGACATTCCCCATCCTGCTGTGTTATCGCTAATCTTAATAAATTAATATTTACGTATAATTTCCTATTGCTGAAAATAGAAATGAATTTTTAGGAATATCTACATATGTAATTAAATCATATCTTGTAGTTGAGGAATATGTTAAATAAGATCCAAAAGAGAAATTTTAAGAGATTTTTAATCTATGAGTTTGTATTCCAGATGCATTTCTATAAATAGAACCATAATAAGTATTATTAATCTTAAACTATATTCCACAATTAATTGGAATATCATTAAAAGAAAAAATTGAAATTTTTAATCCAATCAAATAGACTGCATAATTATAAGTAGACAATTTATTGAAATATCTATAGATGCCAGAATTATACTTAAATACCCCATATGTATATGTATATTATAAACAAGAATAATAGTTGGAGATATATCTACATGTTGTTGGTCATATAGTAATGACCACTTCAAATTTTCAGAGTTCATAATCGGAAGTGTAACTTAAACATCATCTATAAATTATACTAGATTATCTTAATTAAATATAGTTACTTTGATAACTTTAACAAAATCCATTAATATATAACGGAGAATAGATTTCGCAAATATCTTTGCATCCTTAATTCTTCCAATAGTATTAATTAGAAGGACAAAATGGGCAAATATTATTTGTTGGGCTATTATAATAACAACTTGTGCATTAATTGTATTTTGGACCTGTGCATGAATTACATGATGGATAGCATTGTAATTTAGAGACATAAATATTTCTTAAGGAAACCTATCCTTAATTTTTATTAGAGGACGTAAATTGAATTTAACCAAAAGTTGTACTTGCTAAATTAATTGTAAAATTCAAAGTTTTAACTTCAAATTTAAAGTTATCACAAAACCCAATTTACATTGAATAAGTATTAGGGGAAGTGTATTTATATGTATATGTAAATGATCCTATAGTAAATGTTATAATTTCAGACTTCCATGTACCTTGAAAAAATACATCCATGGACATCCAATTCCCATTTATGAATGAGTAGTTAAAATAATTTAGAGCAGATGGTTATGTATTATTTAGAGTAATATAGCTTGTAAGAGGAGTTGTACAAGTGATAAAATTAGCCGTAGTTTAGGTTGTTGGCAATAGAAAATATCCTGAGTTCTAAAATGCTAATGGCCCAGTGGATACATTAAATATCTCGTTATAGTTTAAGAAACTATTTTAGGTTTGCCATTATGAATTTGAAAACTTAAGTAGTCCAAGTAGTATAAAAATAATAGAAAAAGCCATTAATTTAGATATTTGTTTTAAATAAAATAATTTATTAATAATGCGTAAATGATTTATATATTATTTTGAATTTAATTTTAATAGTATATAATCAAAATATTTTGTTTTTCTATTATTTTTATTTGAATAGTGCAAGTATAAAATAAGCCTTAATGGCAATTAATTAACTTAAAATTTTTAAATAACATTGTCAAAATTTAACAAAGTATATTCTGTGAAAATTTTACAACTTTAAATCTCATAAATGTTGAATCTGTTATTAAATCTTTTTAATAAAAATATAAGAGTAATTAACGTTTAATATTATGATGGATAGAGTATTAATTGAATGAACCCGTTTTTAGTATGATATTGATATAAATATTTTTTATATAAATATCTATTGAATAAACCACACAAAAATAATTATATATGATAAAAATTTAATTTTTATTTGAATTTCATGTATAAATTTTAATTAAATTTAAAAATATCACATTTTTTAAAGATTGTATAGATCCTCTGATTGAATGAAATTCTCCATATATTAAAAATATGTAATATTTATAAATAAAACATAGAAGTTATGAAAGGATCTGAGTTAGAAAAAACGAATTAAAATTTAAAACTGATTTCCCATTTCATTGAATCTAGATTTACTTCAAAATAGTAATTTCATGATTAGAAATTCAATCCTTCAAATATTTAGTCAATATAAGTTATATATATTGATTAGAACAACATTGTTAGAAGAAAAATGATATAATTAATTTTGAGCGACAATAAATAATAAAATCATTAATCTTAATTAGAATCAAAATATATAGCAATCCTATGATTCATTAAAAAAAGTTTTAAAAAGTAATATCAATATTTTTAATCTAAAAATGGAATCTTTATAATAATTATTGCGATTGAATATAAGAAAATTCGATAATAGTTTGATAATTATATCATAAAAATAAAATAATTACTTGGCAAATTAAATTTAACTAAAAAAAATAGAAGATTGTATTCAAATATTCAAATCATAATTTCACTCCTCTATAAGAGTAGAAATTAATTAATTTTAGAATATATTATTTGATCATTTTTAGAATGAAATATGAAAGTAAGAATTTTTTTAAATATAAATTTTTTTATTTCAATAGTTTATAGTCAAGCTTCAGTAAAAAAACTCCACCATCCCCTTTATTAACATTAAAATAATATAAAGTTTTAGACTATTTAAAAGTTGATAGATTTATTGATTAATTTTTAATATTTGAAATATAAGGACTCAAAAATTATAATCTTGCAGTATTTTCTTTTTTTATTTTTTTAACCAATAAGTAGCTGCATTTAAAATTGAAGAGATAGATAATTTATAATTATCGACTAAATCTTTCTAGCGTATTCTAATTAAAAGTTCTAGAAATCAATTATTAATAAGATTTTTTATTTAGTTATAAGAAGTAATGCAGAGAATGGGATCAAGTTTAAAGAAGATTTCTAACATCATATAAATTATTATCAAGTTCAGTCAAAAATTTAATTAGAATATACAATAGTAACTCCATAAATGTATTTTAAAATTCTACTTGATTTTCTATTTAGAAAGATTTTCTCAAAATTTGAAAAAGGTAGCTATTTTTGCTAATAATTTATAAATTATAATAAATAATCGAATTTAATAATCAAATAAATGATACTTTAATATATATATTATTCAAACTTTGTTATGTTTCCTTAAACTGATAATAAAATAAAAATAAATTTGAATATAAAATTAAAATTTAATAATAATTAATACTAATATTATTAAGATATTTCTTTTTTTATAAACAACTGATCCACATATCAATTTATTAATAATTGAATATTATTTATAAATAATATAAACTTTGAGTAAGATCTCATTATATACATAAAAAAACACTTGTTCTTCGTTTTTCTTAATTCGCGATTAGATATTAGATATCTTATAATTACTTAAAGTTTGTAATTTGAATCGTAATAAATTATTTCAATTTGATATTAAGTTTTATTCATTGGTAACTCAATAGAACCATAATTAAATGTAATTACAGAACATTATTAAGGGATAAACTATCAAAATAGATTCTCAAATCAGGAAGATTATAGTAATTTCAGAATTAAACATGAATATCAGAATTTTAATAATGAATTTTATAAAAAGTTTTTAAGAAGGAATCCTGCCTCGCTTATATACAATTATATTGATTATAAAAGTATATATTCATTTATAACAAGACAAAAATATTAATATATTACTTTTTTTTCAAATTTAAGAGAATCCATAAACCCAAAATCTTGTCTTTACTTTCATTCCTAAAATTGTAATTTAATTCATATTATTATTTTTTTCAAATAGATTGGAAATAGGGAAATCACATCAATTCAATTGCATACTTAATTTAAGAGAATAACACAAAAATCAATATAAATATCTAAGATTAACTATAATAATTTTTTTTATTTATTAATAGATTTATATTTATTTTAATGAAAATCGATGTTTAAAGTTTATTGATTAGGAGATTCATCTCATTTAAGTCTTATTTCCAAATTGATAATTTATTATAATCAAAATTTACTAAGAACTTACTGTTAATAATTTTTAACAATGAATCAGATGGTCTCATTTGATTTTTTATATGAATATACAAAAGTTATTTACTAAAATTTTACTATAAATTTCATTATAATCTTATGAATATATTATTAATTAATCAGTTAATAAGGCTTTTTATATGAGTTAATAAAACTTATTCTACTAGACATGAATACTTAGTTTTGATGAATCAGTTTATTCAAATATATTGAATCTTCTATTTACAATATAGTGTCATTTTAAAAGATTGAAAAATTTTATGATTTATTAAAACATATAAATAAATTTTTTTTTTCATCATACTAAACTAGAAGTTAATTATTGGCATCATATAAACAAAGTATTTCATTAGAATATAATGCTATTGAATTTAATTAGGATTGCTTAGAATTCGATTTGTTTTTAAGTTTGGAATATCCAAAACATCATAAAACTTTTTTATTTGAAAGCACTCTAAAGACTTCCTTATGATAATCGTATTTAGCTGCTATCAGATAATATATTTTTTTATATTTCTTCTTTAAGTTTTGGTACTTTGATTTATAAATTTATAATTTAGCTCTTTTTTATCAAGCATGATTAATTCAGAGATGTCTTTTAGAAAAACAAAATTTATTAACTTTTAGTTTTGAAACATGCCACTTTTTTCAACAAATATTTTAATTCCTATAATTCTATTGATACATTCCCAAGACTTATTTTTAATTTTTCAGTTATTACATAATAATTAATTTAGATTACAAATAAACAATATTATGCAGAAACATTTAAAGGGTGTAGTAACTATATAATTTACACCGAATGAAAGCTTTATATACTTTTCGAACTTTACAGATATTTAAAATATTAGTAATATATTATTGAATCAACTTGCAAGCAATAATTATAAATAGCTATAAATTCCATTAAATTTATAGTTTGAAAAATAACATAATTTTCAATTAAATTATGTACTCTTTTAGTTAATTAATAAATAATCAACTGTTCATCATTAACAGCTTCCAAAAAATTAAATAGATGCAAATTAACTGACACCAACTAGATTAAAAAATTTTAGTAATTCTAATAATTTTAACTTAATAAATGTTGTAAATGATCAATATTATGTTGTGTAAAACAATTCATCAATCTAGATTTATAATATCAATATAGACTATACATCGACATTCAACTATTCTAATTAAAGTCTTACTAATAGTACTAATTCAACATCTTATGAATATAGGCTTATAAAAAAGAAGATTTTATGAAATCCATTAAAAATTTTTTAAGTATCTAATTTAATTTTTTTTATCATTTTTGTTAATTTTAATTTCTTGGAATTGGTTAGTGTCAAAAAGGTAGAAAACTAGAATATGGGATATGGCTGAATTAAATTTAAAAATGTATAATTTTGAAGTTGAAATGTTATAATAGTAGTGGTGGAACATATATAAATGGCTTAAAAAATGGTTTATGGGTAGAATTGATAGATAGATTTTCAAGTTAATAATGGTTAAGAATAGTTTCTATTGGAGAATATCTTAATGGTAAAAAAACAGGGGCTTTTAAAATTGAATCAATAATTTGATTTAGTAATTATATATTAATATTTTCATTTATAAAGTAATTGAAAAAAATAAAATAAAATAGTATTTATATTCTAAATTAATTGAGTGAAATTTCCATTCTTGCTCAAAAAAGTAAAGTTATAGAGAAAAGTATTTACTTTTTGAATAGGAATCAATAATATATTGCTTTTTTTTTATTTACATAGTAACTTTATATATTTTTATAACTCTGATATTTAATCTATATCCCTATTTGTTTGCTTAAATTTTTAAGTTACCTTGATTCACTCTTTTAATTATTATTTAGAATTCTATTAATTTTTTATATCAATTGAATTGATTTATTTGAACTTAACTTCACTTTTTTGTAATCCTTTTAAAGAACCTCAAAAAATTATTATTATTATATAAAAATTTTCTAAAAAGGATTCATAGAATAATCTTCAAAATTATCATGATCATGATTAATCTAAATCCATAATGTTTATTACTGAATTTAATTTATGATTATAAATTGGATATAATATAAATATTCTAAATATTATAATAAATTCTATTAATACATAATATCAAATAATTGTATACTTTTCAAATATTTTGACTAATATATCGTGCTCAACAAAAAAAGAATATCAGTTGAAATTATGGATTAATTTGTAAATTTTTTACTTAAAAATAAATAGGCTTTAAAATCAAAATTCTTAAAAAGATCATTATAGAATCGAAGATGACATAAAATAAAAAAAATGAAATGAAAGTTAAAATAACTGATATTTCTAAATTGATTTTTTGAAAATCTACTTAAGTTGAATTCATGTAACAGCTGGTACTATGATTCAATAATCTTTAGTAGATTTTGAATAGTTAATTTCAAAAATTAATCTCTTATACAATTAAGTAGTTTGAAATATTAATAATTGATCATTGATATCTGCAGAATTCAAGTATTTTTTATGTTATTATACAATTATTTAGATAAAACATTACATTATTCTTGTTCTTAATGATTTAATAAAATTTCAAAAAGTAATGAAATTTAAAATGTATCGGCTAATTTATTAATGTCAATTTTTGAGAAATTAAAAATAGTCTTTGCTCTATTTAAACATTTTTCAATCTCCAAAAATGACCCATTAAAATCCATAGCTGATAATATATGAATACCTTTAAATAAAGGAAAGTTGCTTTCAAAAGTGTTTGAATTTTAAAAACTGTTCAAGATTAATGAATAATCATAAACCTTATTTTCAAAATCTATCAAATCTAAGTAAGTAAATGAAGCTGCATAAGAAAAATTACATTTTGTGATTGTTTTTGGTGGTTTTGAGGCTTCAATTGTTTGCTCTATAAAACTAACAATGCAGAGTAGGAGGTTAATTTACTTTTAATTTTAAATCATCTTTAATAGGAATGATTTCATTTGTAAATTAAGCAAAAATTCTAAATGAATTTATTTTCCTTTCTTAAATTCTTGAAAGTAATCAAAAATTCGAAATTGGATTAAAAATATTAATTATTATTAATATTATTATTTTTTGCTATTATTTACCAACTTATATGGCTTTATTGTTTATTTTGGAATGTATTAAATACTTTAAGTTTAATTTACTTTGATTATTTTTTTATTTTGATCTTTCAATGAGAATTCTTAGTTAGATCTATTCATTAAACTTAATTGATATATCTTAATCTTTATTCCATTCGTGTTAAATGTCTAAATCTTTACAAGAGATGTGTAAATAATTATGTTGCCTATAGTTTTAAATTTTTTTAGTTCTGTTAATTAAAAAATAATACCTGCTGAGTTAATTGAAAGTGTGATATTTGTTGTACCTAAAAATTTCATTAATGAATCAGATATAGTTTATGAAAAAGTATTAAGTTTTATTTATTAATAATAACAGTAAAAAGATTTTGAATAGTAAATTCTGAATAATTAACTTTAAAATTACAATCATTTCTAAATACTTCAATTAAAGGTATTTCATATCTTGAATTATCAATTAATGTAGATACATCTGAACAATCTCTTCTTATAAAAAAATTTAGGGAAATCGCTTCAAAAGTAAAATAAGTTGGTACATATATTCAAAAGATAGTAGGAAATTTACTTGATTTGAGTTTTTTTTATGTGGAATATATAATTCTAATAATTATAAACTTGTTTATAATTAAAACAATTCTTCAAGATTACCATTAGTATAGGTTCATATAATTCCAATTAAATTACTAAATCATCATTTATTTTAGATACTAATGGTATAGTATTATCATCCCAAGGATTTAATAAATATGTTGATACACTATAAGTAAATTTTGAATAGATAGGATTTTTTACTTAATAAAGTATGAATAAATTAATTTTATTTTCACAATTTAAGTGTCCAAATTAATTTGAATAAATTCATAAATATAAATTAGATTTTATCATCAAGAGGATCAAGAAAACAAAATGATTAGAATCAAGGAAATTAAATGTAATTTCATCTAATATTTGATAACAAATATTATCTTTAAATTAAGAATAAAAGTATTTAGGATTTAATGGGAAATCAAATTTAATAATAATGGAAAGTAAATCATCAGAGAATTTCACTTATACTACAATCTATAATAATATATATAATTAATTTACTTGAACACAATGGAGTATGAATATGACAAATAGAATTTGGTGTTTAATGACATGTTCTGTTTAAACTTAATATTCTATTACCATAAAAACTAAACAACCATTTTAAATTACATGTTTGACATAACCAACCACAAATTTAGCTTATAAAATCATCATAGAATCCATCTGGACATTTAGATTAAGATTAATTCATACGAATACGTTTAATATTCACATTCTATTAATAATTAAATAAATTAATACAAATACGATAAGGATATCCACCTTCATTATATTCTTCTTAAAATACACATAATTAAGTATATCTATCCTTTTTACAAGTCAAAAAATTAGAACGAGATTTTTCACATGTTTCACATTAATTTTCACTCGCTAAATATTTAATAAATAATGTTATACGTTTTAGACGTTCACAATTTTATGTAGAGTTTTCAAAGAATCCAAAATTGCAATTACATAAAGGAGGTGTATTTCTAACATTACTAAAACAACTTAAACAATTATTTGATGAATCTTAACATTGCTTACAACAATTACTATATTTTTAATAATCATCTTAAGTATCATTATAATAGCCATCCTTATAAATACAATTGGATATTGATCATTTATTTGATGTTTTAGAAATAGAACAACTTATACAATTATCTCTTTATATAGAACACTTTAACATTTGAAATGACATTCTATTTATTATTAAAATGAACAAATACTTGAACATTTTCATTTTCATCTTGATAAAAACCAGATAAACCAGGATATCTCTTCATAATAGATTAAATTTATTCTATTATAATTAATGCCAATAATCTCTTTTCCTTAACATGCAGGACATTAATTAGAACATTCTATAGCAATAATAATAATTTAATTATTTACTTTCCCAAATTAATTAACCATTATCATAAAACCCTTCTAACAAATACATGAATTAAGATTTAATTATCTATAATGTTAACATGAAAAAAATTTACTTGAATTCTCTTTAAAAGTCTTACATACTTAATTGCATTATTAACTCATTTCAATTCCAATATCATAATATCCATCGTAACATAAAAATTAATTTTAATTTATTCATATTCTATAATATATTGCTTCCCGTATTAAAATAGAAACTTGTTTTATAGATACATCTATTTAATCATTTAACATCTATTATTTATCTATAATTTAAAAATTTTGTATGAAAATTCTTTCGAATAAAATAAGATTCATTTTTATAGCACATAATACCCCAACTTTTTTTCCATATATTTATTGTCAAATAACTAACATATTTAATAAATTCCTATTAATGTCTACAATTTACTAATATCTCTACATACACACTTATTAGCTTTAATTTCTCTGTTGTTACTAATTGCAAATGTAATAAATTAATCTTCTTCTGGACTAAAGCAAGTCATACAAGTACAATAATATGTTATTATTTTTATGAATATTTTTACGAGAACATTGTATATCATCAACATCATAATATCCAAAAGGTTAAATGCATTTAAACATTACTAATTATCTATAAGAAAGATCATAAATTAGACAATTATATATAAATAAAATCTAAAATGTAATATAAAAATAGAAATAATAATTTAAATAAAAAGATCATTGTCATTATAATATTTTCATAGATTCCATTACAAGTTAAAAAGTAGAATGACATTCTAGGCATTTAACTAATGTGGATCTATGTATAAAAATATAAAAGTAGTTTCTTATCTATCAGGCTATCTAGTAGATGGACAATTTGTGTATTTATCTTCTACAGGCACATCAAAATCAAAACATGAATAATTTTATATATCTAGATTTATTGATATATGATTACATAAACAAATTGCATCATTAATAACTGTATCCATAAAAGAATTATTGCATAAACACTAATTATCGAGATTCAAATGACGATTAGAAAAGGATGAGCATAAAGTGCAAACTGTAGCTAATGGTCCTTTACAATCTTGACATGTATAATGGCATTCTGAAATATGTGGCATAAATGATGATTTTACTAAAGCAATAATCAGAAATGTCATCATTCACAAAAACTTTTCAACAAATATATTTAAGTTCATCAGAAACTACTCTATTTTATCCTGCTATGCTTTAGTACTATATTAATTATCTATATTATCAAATGATTAATAACATTTCCAACATCTTAGATGACAGCTATAAATAAATAATTAATGATATAAAATTACGTAAAAATTTTGTTATTCTATCTTATATTTATATTCAAATGTTTAAATATCACATATACCTAATCCCTTAAAAGTTATTTATAATATATATTTATATCTCTCCCACAATCAGTACAATCTTCATTAATAGGTCCAATATATTTATATATGATTGATAGCACATTAATAATACTTAATAAATAAAAATAAATTAACAAATTTTATCACTTACTCCCGTATTATAGCATTCAGATGCACTAAATTCTGTACATTAAAATAAAGTAAAATCTTGTAATCCATATGATTCTACAAATACATAGTTTTATGTATAGGATTAGAATTACCACAAATCTTTACTGCATAACTTGCCAAATAATATCATCATCAACTAAAATTTTAGCAATTTCAGTATTCCATGAATACATAAATTAATTTAATTAAATTATTCTAAATATTCATATTCCACCTTGAGTAGGTTAATTAACTTAAGAAGTTTCCTCTTCTTCCTTTTCTTAGGTAATTAAATTCTAGTGAGACAAATGGATAGATAATACAAATATATCTATAGATGATGATACAAGATGAAAATAACAATGAAGTCGATGAGTTAAATTAATATGTAGATGATGTATATCCACCTTCAGATAATGTGGATGTACCCATAGATGATCCAAATACAACTAATGATATTCCGAATGTAACAGAAACTGAAAACTAACTTTCACTCATAATAGCCAATTGTTTAATTTTGTTAGCATCAATTTTGTGATTGGTCGAGAAATTCATTCCAAATTTAAAAAAGATGTTAAAGCCCCATAATTCCACTTTGAACTCATTAAAAAATTATGTATTATGGAATATTATATTATAATAAATTAAATTTTATTCAAAAAGTTATAGTTAAGATTAATATTGATTTATGTTTAAAAATCACTAAAATGAAAATATTTGTTTTTATAATCATTAATAATTGCTCTCCACAATTTATGAGCAAGGAAGCCATAAGAAATAGCAGTAACCAAAGAATTTTGTGAGATATCTTAAATATTGATTATAACTTTTATTAGAAAATAAAAAAAAATATTAATATTATTTTAAGAAAGAATTATTTTTCAAATTTAATTATA